TGTCTGGGAGTTATGAAAGCCTGGCAAGACCTTTCTAAAACACAGACCAAGTCTGTGTAGAACCAAGAGGGCAAAGGCAAAATTATTAGCATATTTTTTTCCAGCCTGAATTCCAAATGATGTCAGTGCTAAAGAAAGTGTTTCTTTGTACAGAAATGGCTGAGAAGGTCATGGCATTTTCTACACTCCACTGCGCCAACGGCACACCTGTCTTTCACTCACCTGAGCTCCTCTCTCCATGCCCAGCTAGGGTCTTTCTGTTGCACGCCACAATAAGATACTACTTCACACCTACTAGGATGGTTTTAATTTTAATAATAATAATAAGTGTTGGTAAGGATGTGGAGAAATTGGAACCCTCAGACATTGCTGGTGGAAATGTAAAATTACACAGCAGCGGTGGAAAATAGTTTGGTGGCTCCTCAAGTTAAACATAAAATTAGCATATGACCCAGCAATTCCACTCCTAGTTATAGATCCAAAATAATTGAAGACAGGCATTCAAACAAAAACTAGCACATGAATGTCACAGCAGCACTAGTCACAATAGCCAAAAGGTAGAAAGAACCCCAATGTCCATCAAGAGATGAATGGATAAACAAAATGTGGTCTATCCACACAGTGGAAAATCATTCAGCCATTAAAAGCAATGAAGTATAACCCGGGCTCCAACATGGATGAACCTTGAAAACATTACGCCAAGTGAAAGAACCTGGGTACAAAAAGCCACATGTTATACGATCCCATTTATATGAAATATCCAGAGTAGGCAAATGCACAGAAAAAGCAGATTAAAGGCTGCCAGGGGCTGGAGGGAGCGGGCATGGGAAGCCTGGGTAGTAACTACTCAACGGGTACTGGGTTTCTGCTCCGGGTGATGAAAAATTTCTGGAACTAGATAGAGGTGATGGTTGCACAACATTGTGAATATATTTAATGCCACTAAATCAAACACTTACAATGGTTGAAATGGTACATTTTATGTCATGTAAATTTTTCCACCATTTGAAACAAACAGTGTTTTGAAAGATTTAGAAATGTGATTCCATGTTGGGTATTTTTATTAAGTCAGCCTGTGAATTTATCACACAAGACACATCGTCTTTGGATTTCCTCCAGCAGAGTTGCTATTTGCTGTCATTCACCCATTACTGAATTGATGTATATGGAAGAAAGCTAATTTCAATTAGAGACCAGCTTGAATTTTGAAGTCTTTAAAAAGATTCCACCAAAATCTTGCTTGGAGATAAGTGGGTTTTTTTTTTTTTTTTAAAGATTTTATTTTTTCCTTTTTCTCCCCAAAGCCCCCCGGTACATAGTTGTATGTTCTTCGTTGTGGGTCCTTCTAGTTGTGGCATGTGGGACGCTGCCTCAGCGTGGTTTGATGAGCAGTGCCATGTCCGTGCCCAGGATTCGAACCAACGAAACACTGGGCCGCCTGCAGCGGAGTGCGCGAACTTAATCACTCGGCCACGGGGCCAGCCCCTAAGTGGGGTTTTTTAAGATTAAAGAAGCTTTGGTTAGTTTTATTCCCCCTACAGAGATATTTGTAGGGATTAAGTATCCTGAATTCCTGAACTCAGAGTGATTTAGTCAGCCACGATGAGGTACCCGAAAAAGCCCCTATGCAAAACCAGAACCCTTAGAAAAAATGCATTAGTGAAAGAACAGAACTTTCGAAAAGGGAATAATCTCTCCTTTACACAGTTATTTTAAAACCTTCCTGCACATTTGTGGTAATTTTAGACTTCATGAGTATGGACTTGTGAAAGTGGTGTCTAAATTTCCCCCAGATCCAGCACCTTCTACCTCAGGATCTGCATGTTATTTAGAAGCAAAGAGAACATTGGCCCCTTTTGGAAATGTATTAACTACACGAGAAAGAAAATGGCCACGAGAAGGGAATCGATTTTTTTAAATAAGTAATTTCACAAGATTGTCCACTCAGCTCTTTCGTGTGGACTGGCATCTCCTGCCCCAGTGTTCTCAGCGGGGGCAGGGAGCTTGCAGATGAGGACCCCAGCAGGATCAGCAGCCGCCTGGGAGAGCGGTTTATTAAAATGCAGTCCACACTTGGGGACCCAGTTCCAAACCCCACGGTTACCTAAATACGCGAGTTTATAAATTGGCAGGAGGGACGTTAAAGGTTACTGAGAGCATACTATGTGCCTCTCCGGGGCTTAGAAAATTTAGTAAACTAGCCCCAGATTGCAGAGCTAGTAAATGGGGGAGAGAGGAAATAAAGGGCCGTTCTCTTTTGACTCCACAAACCACCCTGGTCACAGGAAAGGAAGGGAATAGAGATTAATCATCCCTGTGCCTGGAACCCCATTTGCCTAAATAAATTCCCATCACCCAAAACAGTCGTTGGCACAGAATGGGTGATCAATACGTGTTTGCGGCAGGAAGGAAGGAGGGAGGGAGGGAGAAAGCAGGAGCGAGGGAACACCTTTCTTTCCGGTACTGACACTTTACCTGTACCTACAGAATGCCCAGACAGCTCACAGATTGTTTAAAAATATTTTTCACAAAATGTTTTATATGATTGGCAGCCCCATGTACAATTTAAATCACCCCGGAGTTATTAGGCCCAGGTTTCAGGCTCTACCCTTTTCTTAGTAGCTGCGTGACCTGGGGCAAGTCACATAACCTCACAGAGCCTCAGTTTCTTAGGTAACGTGGATGACCTTGGGCAAGTCACCTCCTCTCTAAGGCTCAGTTTATTCTACCAGTAAATGAGGGGGTCAAGCAGTGAGCAGAAGATCTGACCAGGCACTTCACCAAAACAGATACCCAAATGGCCAACCGGCATATGGAGAAGTTGTCAACATCACTACTTACCAGGAAATGAAAATTAAAACCACAATGTGATACTACTGCATACCTTCCAGAGTCATTGGAATAGAAAAGGTGGTCAATCCTGAGCACTGGAAGGATGTGGAACCCCTGGAACTTTCGTCCTTTGCAGATGGGAATGTAAATTGCTACAACCTCACTGGAACCTGGCCATTTCTACTAAAGGTAAACATATGCATACCAGTAACCCCACTCCTAGATATATTACCAATGGAAATAAGAAGATAAATTTACCAAAAGATATGTATAAGACTGTTTAATCAAAATGACCTGAAAGTATTTGATTACCCATCAATAGCAGAATGGATAAATAAGTTGTGGTGCGTGTCTACAATAATATGCCAACAGCAATAAGAATGACTAATCTACAACTACACAGAAAACATGGATGAAACTCATAAATAATGTTGAGCAAAGAAGGCCGGACACAAAAGATTTCAAAATTTTTATGATTAAAAGGAAAACACAGTCACAACTCATCCCTGCTGTTATAAGTCAGGATAGTGATGACCCTCGGGGAGGTAATTATCGGAAGGGGACACAAGGGAGTTCTGTCTCTTGATCTGGGTGCTGGTTCTAAGGTGTTCTGTGTGTGAAATGCACCAAGCTGTACACAACCAATATATTCAGTTTTCTGCATGTCTACTATACTGCAGTAAAAATTGTGTACAAAGTCACCCACTTTGAGCTCGGTGCAGCATCTTTAACATTCTTTCCAGCTTCAACAGGAATAACTGTCTTCATTGTGCCAGCCACTAAACTGAGCACTCGCTACATAACCTCTCGCCTGGTCGCGTGGTCCTCTCTTTAGTGCTCTGAGCTAGGCACTATGGAGAGCAAACTTAGGCCCCAAAACGTGGGGAACTTGCCAAGGTCACACATTGACTGAGGGGTCGAAGTGGCTTTGAACCCAGCTACTCAGAGGCCAGATGCCTCACCTGTAGTCCTGAAGACCACAGCCCCAGGAAACCACGAAGGGTTGGGTGTGACAAGTGTGGCTTTCTCTGGCTGATACCCAGCAGAGAGACCCTACTGGGTGTCTGGAGCTGGCCCTCCCTCCCCCTCTCTCTCCACAGCCCAGCGCCTTCTGTTTTCCTCCCACTGGAGGGGGCATGGGTGCACTTTCTGTTTCTCCTTCCTGGAAACTGTGTCCTCCCACTTCTTAGACACTTAGATGCTTCCCTTCAACTGACCTTAAGGTGAACTTACGTCTTTAAGTGTACTTAGCATTTATTGAAGAATTGCTTGTCAGCCTACTCAGAATTTTAAAAGCTAGTTAAAATGTTCTTGCAAGTTATTTCTAATAAGACAAATACTACTGTACGTTGATCTGTGCCCATAAAATGGATGAGGGTCTCTCAACGTAAGAAATGCTCTCCAGTCACCCTCTTAAATATAAGGCTCCTTGGCTACATAACTTCAAGGGAGGGTCTAAAATGGTCATTTCTTTTTTTCTTTTTTTTTTTTAAAGATTGGCACCTGAGCTAACAACTGTTGCCAATCTTTTTTTTCTTTCCTGCTGTGTCTCCCCAAATCCTCCCTGGTATATAGTTGTATATCTTAGTTGCAGGTCCTTCTAGTTGTGGCGTGTGGGATGCCGCCTCAGCGTGGCCTGCCGAGCGGTGCCATGTCTGTGCCCAGGATCCGAACCGGTGAAACCCTGGGCTGCCACAGCGGAGCACATGAACTTAACCATTCAGCCACAGGGCCGGCCCTTAAAATGGTCATTTCTAACATCAGAAATCTGTGACCGGTAGACGGCCCAAATCTGAAAAGTTATCTACCAGGCTTTTTATGGGGTATTAAGAACTTGCTAAGTACTAGGAAGTTAATGTCCTAGAAATCTGGTAGGTATGTATTGATTTAACTGGTAGCCACTGATAAAAATTCTGTATAGACACTTTGCTTTTGGTATGAAAATGGCCCTAAATGTGTGTTTGTATATCCTGCCTGCAGGTGTAGCCAGTATGTGCATATCCAGCAAGAGTCTGAAAAGGACGGCATAAGAAAGTCCTGTTAGGGTTGAAATACCCTCTGTTTGTGAATGCAAGCTGGCAGGGGAAGTGGATACATACAAATTCTGATAATTATAAAATTAGTTAAAAGCTTTGCTAATGGAGAACAAGAATTAATTAAACGAGAAATCATTACAAAACGAATTTATTAGACAAACACATCAATAGATTGAGTCTAAGGATTTGGTTGGAAAGCCACTGGGCCTTTTAAAGCAGCAGAAGTCCAAAGTCACCCACTTTGAGCTGTGTTACAATTTGTAGAAATGAGAAAAGTTGGGAACGACAGCCCTCCATGCTGGTCCACAGACGCAATAGCCTCCCGCCTCCCTGCCTTGTCCCTCTCTTCAACTGGAGTCTTCTGTGATTCGGGTACCAGAGAGGAATGAAATGTTTCCCACATCTTACAGAAATTCAGCTTCTTTGTTACAGATCTTGCCTCTGTGCCCTTGAATTGTCTGTTCACAACACAGGGAATGTGTTGCTTTTGAGAAACCAACAAATGGTTACAGAGGGGGTGTTTAGCAACATGTAAAGTGAATAAAACAATATTCTCTACTAGATTTTTAATGGCATTTTTAATCTCATCTGGCATCAATTGTCTTTTAGAAAGTTACAGTGTGTTGTTTGGGGACACTTTTCTTCTTTAGAATAGAAGACAAAGAGTTTAGTAAATAATACAAATAATACATGTTCTCAGATCTTGTGAGAGCCACATGAATATGAAGTCTCCATTTAATTTGGGAGAAAGGGAGGATATTTTCTTTCATTCCTGATAGTAATAGATCTAAATATTTCAAGATTATAATAATATCATGTGTTCATAATACCAGTGTGCTTTTCCTTTATATAAAGCCATTGATCATTAAATACAATTATTAATGGCATAGGCTATCAAGAAATAGCAAGGAATATGGTACCCATATAGATATCAGCAGGCCTCAGGTAATCAAAGAAAGGTGAGAACGAAACATACATGACCTAGTCGGGGACATCTGGGTTTCTGACATATGGGCTTACAAACCATACTACATAGACAACTAAGGGAAGAGTATTCCAACCAAAGCTGGCAAGAGAACTTTGCAGAAGAACTAATTTTTAAGGGAGATAAAGTAGCAGTGAGAATGCATGCCCACATATCACGTTCCTGCAGTTGAATTCACCATGAATGTGCTTTTTGCTTCCACGGTAGCTCTTTACACTCAAAGTATTTATTTCACAGCCTGTTACAACTTTTTGCTTGTTCATCATGCCATCACGGAGTCTGTTTGGAAGAAGAATTGCTTTCAAGCCAGAATCTTAAAACAGCCCAATTCATGACGGCAATGTGTGCTGCAGGCGCTAACTCTCCCCCAGCTTTGTGCACTATTTGCAGCCTAGGAAGGGCTGGGACGGAAGTTTTAAAGTAGTAAATACTGCAAATCAAAATGGGCAGTCTCATGCATAGACTTGAAGATTTCAGTTGAGCCACTGGTCCCTTCATTATCATTTTTTAATGCATTTGGGGCCATGGCGGTGGCTTGTCAAAGATGCTCTGAAAACTCGCAGCGCAGCAGAACTGTGTCTACTCCAGCAGGTAAGTCTGGCTACAGAGCAGTTACATTTCCTAGCACAAACTTCTGGTCTTCTTAGAAAATAAGGTACCATTCTCTCAGGAATAGCCTATGGAGAGCCTTTTTGGAACAAATTCAGCTCAAGTCCGAATCTTAAATGAACATCTAAAAATGCAGAGTTTTATGCATTTAAAAAATAGTCCATTTCACAGCGGCAGTGTGTGCTCGTGGACCCAGCCCTCTCCAGCTTTGTTCAGTATTTGGGAGGGATAGCTGGGTTTGGGCCAGTAATCAAGTATGAAAAGGGAAACAATCAGCTATGAAAAGGGAAAGCTCCTTACCCTCCCAGTGAGCGAAAACCTTTGAAGATTCCATACTAGGTGTGAGCAGAGCGGCACGGGCCTGGGGTCCCTGGCTTCTCCGTCCTCGCAGCTTTGTTAGCCCCGCGCGGAACACGCAGACCCTCAACAAAAGCCCTTGAACAGAAGTCAGTCTGCCCGAAAGTGAGAAGCAAGGTCCAGAAACGGGAAGATTTGAGGACAGCCTCCATCTCAGGACACTTTGAAAGATGACAGATCCTTGACCCGCTTTGTGGACCGCGTGGATTTAGGGGGTCGGCGCGGCGGGAAGGAGCGCGGCTGGGAGTCGGCAGGCAGCTTCTCCCTGCCCTCTGGCGGCGCCTCCCGGCAGCTGGAGGGGAAGGGGCGCGCAGACACCCGCGCACCAGGAGGGGGCGGACCCTGCGCGTGGGCGCCCCTCGGTGGAGTGGGGACCTCACGACGACAGCAATCATGCGTGAGTCGCGATGAAACGGGACCCAGGGAGGCTTCGGGTTCACAGGTGCGGGGCGTAGAAAGGGGTCAGGTAGGAGGGCCCGAGGAAGGGCGCAAAGGGGCCCCCGGCGGCGGCGGCCGTCAGTGGGAAGGAGGCGGCGGCTGGGAAGAGGACGTTGGCCCCGGAGTAGGAGGGGAAAGTCTGGAAGGGCACAGCGCCGGGGCCCGGCGGACCAGGGCTGCCCCCGGCGCCCGACCCCGCCGCCACCCCGGGTTGGGGCGCGCCGCCCCCTGCCGGCGCCGCCCCGTCGGCGCCGGGGTTCTGCTTCTTCCACTTGGTCCTGCGGTTCTGGAACCAAATTTTGACCTGCGTCTCAGTGAGGCTGAGCGACAGCGCGAGGTTCAGGCGCTCGCACACCGACAGGTAGCGCGTGGCCCGGAACTTGTTCTCCAGGGCCACCAGCTGCTCGTAGGTGAAGGCGGTGCGCGCACGCCGCGGCTTGGCGCAGCTGGGCTCCGCACGCCGGCGCCGGGGCCGCGGGGAGCCGGGCGAGCCCGGGGAGCCAGCGAGGCCTCCCGCACCATGCTCCCCCGCCGCCAACGCCGCTGCCGGGGCTTCGGGGGAGCGCGCCAAGCCTGTCTGCAGGCACGCAGCCCTCTCCCGCCGCCGCCGCCGCCCCGCGTCCTCCGCCTCCTCCTCCTCCTCCTCCGCCTCCTCTGCCTCCGAGCCCTCCAGGGGGGACGCAGCAGCATCTAGGGGAGAAGGGGGCGGTGACCAGAAGCCCCGAACCACCCGACCGATGCAGGTCTCCAGACCTCCTTGTCCTCCCCAGAGCGCGCAACTCGCCCCCAGCTCTGCTCCTCTTCCAGCATTGTGCTCCCCCTACCCTCGACCGCACATCCTTGAAAGCGCTTCCCAGGAATTTGGGTGTAGGGGTGCAGTGCCCTCTTGCCCTTTACGCATCTGCCACCTAGCAGGCGTCTAAGTGTATTTTGAATGAATGACACCCCGCGTTAAGAAAAATAATGACCTTATTGGACAACCTTATGGAGGGGCTAGGGTCATTGTATATTAAGACTTCCAGACGTCAAGTGCGTTTTGGGCTGTGTCTCCCCAGCCCCTAGAAGCCTATTTTGGTCTGGGACTCCTAGCAATTAAAAAAGAAGTTATTACGCTCCCCCCCTTTTAAAGTGAAATTCCCTTTTTCCCATCTTCTCTCTCCTGCCGTGTTAATAGAGTTTCAGATTTGTGCGGGGCCGGATCGATAGATGTCATCTATTAAAGGTAAGTTTTAATCGAACAATATTAGGATCAGACAGGGAAAGGGGTTTTGAAGTCGGTACCTGCAAGCTGCGGGCAGGAGATATGCAGGCGCCAGTAATAGAATATCGATCATAGGGTGGGGGGAGGGGAGCGCGGCCCCTCCGAGGGGCGATCCGAACAATTACCAGGCGAACCGCCTGGGCCCGAGCGCAGCCGCCAGAGGCGCCCGGAGCCCCAGACAATCACCGCCAAACTTGGGGAGGGGAAGCAGGGGGCTGCATGGCAGCCAGCCTCTCCCGGACTTGCGCCTCTGACTCTCGGCGTCCTTCCAGGGAATCTAGTGCCCACGCCCCACTCAGTACGGGTCCTGCTGTCTTTTGTCCTTCTTTCAAGACACAAACTTTCCTGGACCCTTCATCAGGTGTCCGCCAGAGTTAGCAGTAAGTCAAAAGGAGTTTCGAGGAGAAAGGACCAAAAACATCCCATTACTCCACCCCATTGGGTCTGGGGAGCGTGAGCGTGTGGCAGCGGAGTCTCACACTACTAGATGGTTGGAAGTGGGGCACTAGGTGCGTAAACCTGACCTCGCTACCCACGATTTAACCTCAGCTCCCTCATCCGTAAAATGGGGGCGCAGTTAATGATGCTGTCTACCTCGCAGGTTCTGAAGTTTTCCATGACTTTTACAAGTCTCTAGCCCAGGTCCTGGCACATGGCAGGCGCATGAAATACCCGATAAATGAATGAGACTGGGCAAGGTGGGCATTGGGTGTTAGTTTTCACTGCGAGCAAATCAGAGCTGTGGTGCTTACTCGCTCGGCGGGTGAGCAGGGATGGGGCTTCGGTGGCAAATCCCTGGCCTGGAATGCTGGGGGCCTCCTTTCTGCCTCAATCCAATTCCAAGACAGGGGCTTCACTTCTCACCTCGTCCTGTGCGCCTTCTCCCTTTGGGCAAGGCGCCACTAAGGGCCACTTACCGAGTCCCTGGCTGTCCCCCCCACACACACCTTTCCTTCGCGTCATCAGAGCTGGGGGTTCACGGGGCCGGAGGCCTCCTCGCATCCTTACCAGGGGTCTCCCGCTGCCAGGCCTGGTCCCCCGGGCTGGCGTCCTTCCCCGCTTCGGCCTCTGCCAAACTTTTCTTGGCTTCCCGGGGAGCAGGGCGCACGGCCGGGAGCGCAGCGCGGGTGAATTTCTGCGGGTCCAGGATGTCCAGGACCGAGAAGGAGATCTTGTGGTGGGAAGGAGCCGCTTTGGCCCCGCCGTCCTGCCATGCCAGCATGCCCGCCGTCCGCGGGCCAGAGGCCGGCGGCGCGGGGTCCGGGATGGCCGCGCTCGGGTTTGCCTTCGGCAGTGGCTCGGCCGCAGCTCTCCAGGCGGTAGGAGGGTCGGGGCGGCCAAGTGAAGCTGGGGAGGGGGATGTGGAGGAGGGGCGGGGAGAGATGTGCGGGGGCGGGGGACTGCACGCGGATTGGCACTTGCGCGGCCCAGGCCCCCGCCACGTGCACGACGCGCTCGCAGCAGCCCGGAGACTGCCCCGCGCTGCGCTGGGGCCGCTCGCCTCGGAGAGGGGGCGCCTCAGTGAGACTCGTGCGCGCGCGCGCGCCCAGACAGCGCTGCTGGCTCCGCGCGCCTCCGCCCAACCGCGGGGACTCCGGGTGTGCACTAGGGAGAGAGGGAGGGCCGAACACTTCATTCGGGAGACCCCCCAACACACATACACACACACACACGCTGACTTGGGCTTGGGTTTGCGCCCATTCCCCTGTGCACCGCCCTTGAACTGGGGATGCAACTGAGGCCAGCACTGATTACTTCAAGGCAACGCTCAGCACATCTCCTGCCCCGATAGTGATTCAGAGCGATAGCCTCAGTCCCGGTCACCTCGGATTTAAAAGCTCTCGTGTCCTCAGTTTAGTTTACAAAGCCCTTGGGCTTTCACCATCTCGTTTGATTCTCTGAGCATCCCTGTGAGGTGGGCGTGGCCTGGCAAGACTGTTATCCCCGTCTTATAGATGCGGAAATTGAGGTTCAAAGATGAGAAGTGGTTGCCCAGGGTCACTGTTTGGTTGATGACAGAGTCTAGATTCAAACCCAGGGCTACTCCTGGATCAGTACCCTTTCCAGTACCCATCCCGCTGTCTCAGAAATGGAGGACGAAGACCCTGCCGTGTCCAGGCTTTCCCTTCCACTCTGAGTGGGCCGGGTCATAAAGCAGCGGGAGTTTTGGAGAGATGTCTGAGTCCCCACCAAGGTGCCCGCCGCTTTGGAAATATTGGCGGGTTGCGGGCTCAGAGCCAGGTGAGATGCCCTGGTGAGAGCAGGTGAGCCAGGTGAGGGCGGCTGCCAAGCACAACGCTTGATGCCCTTCAGACCTTCGGCACAGTCACCACTTCGATCCTTTGTAACAGACATTGGGTCTCTGGGAACCAGGTTACATCTTTGATCCCCATCCCCTTCCAGCCCCAAGAAGAAAAAGGTTAAAAGATGCTTATCTGGTTTGCATTTAAGCTCAGAGAATGGAAACGATTGAAATGGCCCCCGTCTGTCCCATCCAGTCCGTGGAATGGCGAACCCCAGTCCTTGGGGAAGCTTCCCCCAGCCATGCCCATCTTAACATTCCTTTTTCCTCCTGTCACTTCGGGTGCAGTCTGTGAGCAGTAAGCCTTTATCCCAGCGGCAAATTCTGATGCTTCCCTTACCCCTTGGCCCAGAACCACTTCTGACTCTGCTGGTCCTTTCTTCCCTGCCCCATGGGGTTTCCAAACAATGACTTGGCAATTAATATTGTTCGAGAAGGTAGGGGTGGGAAGAGGAGGAGAAACCTCATTACAGTGCGAGGGGCGGCTAATCCCATCTGTTAACTGAAGGGTAGGCCTTACCGTGCAGCTCCTTGTAGCTTTTCTCATTCAAACCTCGTGGCCCCTCCCAGAGGCGGCCACTGTATTCCCTGCGGACTTTAAAGCCCTGTGGAAATTCAAGCCGGATCCAGTTCAAAAGCGAGGATGGACTGTGCTTTTAAAGGAGATCAGGAAAGGAAGTGCCCTGCCCAAGCCCGCCAGGCTGCCTCCCACCAGAGGGAATGAGCCTGTGAAAACCAAAGACAAGGTGGCCCTGGCAGCAACAGTGACACCCAGGAAGCCGATTGCAAATCACTGACCCTCCCCAATACAGGCAGATAGGGTACTCTGTTTTCTGTTTTGACAACTTTCCCACTGATTTTTTTTTTTATCTTTCTTTTCTTTCTCCCCCTCCCCATATTGATACCAGCCCCCTTTTACTTTTTTCTCCCCACGTTCATGTTTTTCATATTCAGCTTCTCCCGGGTAGGATCCCCTTAAGGGAGCTCCAGATGGCATTTGTGGCTTCCCACATCCCTCTTCTTCTCTGTTCTCCTGTAAGAAACCTTGAAGCCGTTTTCACAGGAAGGAGGGCTGGCATTCCAGAGGGCACCCTCTGCCCCCACCCAGAGAGACAGGGAAGGTGCAGGGGCCCGGGGCAGCCCCAGCCTGGGGCGTTTTCATTTCACTTTATAAATTGCCTCAAAAATTTTTGTTTAAATGACATGAATCATCTTTCTTTTGAGGTCCACAGGTGTTAAATATAGAAAAGGAGCAGAAAAGGGAGAAGCAAGAAGTTGGAAGGTCAAGAACACATCACACATCGAGGCCATGTGCTTTAAGACTGTCAATCTTTAAGAACTCCTTCTTAAAGTTATCTTTTATTTTTCTTGCCCTTTATTTTCTCTGTATTTCTGATATGTGTGTTCAGTGCACCACAAGTTATGTTGGTTGACTTCTGGAAACAGATGACACAGAAGAAACACTGCAGTGTCTCCCACCAACATTGAGGGAATAGGAAATGCGCCCTCTTACTCACCCAACTTAAGGAGAAACCCCTCAACCAAAGAACAGGCTAAATTCTTCAATTTGGTGAGGGGTGGGGGGCCCTTGGGCAATTGTTTTTCTGGCCACCTGCTTCATAAATGACGAGGAGGCAGTGAGACCTCCTGTAGGTACAGTTTGGCCATGCGTTGACACGCTAACGTCCTCACACAGGTGTTTATGCCCAAGGTATTCCTATATAATAAATATATCCATACCCAGCAAGCCACTTTCCCTCAGTGCGTGGAGTTGATTTGTTTTTTCAGCGTGGACATTAAAATTCCGCCTGAGTGCAGTCTTTAAATTGCTTTGATGCTAGGTGGGTTCCAACCCTGACCTGTCCCGATGGCAAGTGACGGCTGTAACAAGCTCGGGATCAATATTCATAGCGGGTGTCCTGGGCTGATAACACCGTCCAAGACAATGTTCACTATCAGCGCAGACAGCTGAGATATTGCACCATTAGGGATGTTGTGTTAAATAACCTGATCCATTTCTGGGGCTATTTAATGAATTTCACAGTTTAGATAGTATCTTTAAGGAGAAGGCAAAGGCTATTCCGGAGGCACTGATGCAAATCAATGATGCCAAGCTTCTCGAGCTATTCCATAGACAAAGTGGCCTATAATTCCAGCACAGCCTTGAGGAGCTGCTGCCCGAGCCATGAGCAGTGTTAACAGTGGAAAGAATTTGCAGTTTACGCAGAAAGAGAGCAGTATAATGAGCCGCATTAAATAAAGTACCTTGGATAAAAATCTTATGTTCATGAAATAAAATAGCACTTAAATTCTCTAGGTAAAACCCTGTGGTTTGGGGCAGCCCACGGGGTAGGGCTTATGTGCCAAAGAGACAGCTTCATAAAGCACAGCGTGGTGACAAACGGGGAGAAGGCATCTGCAGGGACAGCCAGCCATGAGGGCAACCCATGACCTCAGCCAGCTTTCTCCAAGATGTGCTCCTTCAGCTGAAATCGCTCTTCAAAATGAGAGGGGGAATGTGCTGGATTTGAAAAGAAGACTCCTGAACTCCTGAAAGCCGCAGATCAGTCATTAAATGTTTGCCTGACTCTGTGCCCCTTGTTGCCGAGAGTTTATCTACAGTTAAAGGCCAGCATCTACCATTTCCCACCAGGGCTTTGAACTCAGGCTGCCAAGCGGAGCAAGCACTCCTATCAAAACCCACCTCGGAGCCTGATTTGTAAGAGCTCAAGAGCGGAGCCTTCCCACCCATCCCCAGACTGCAACCAAAATCAAAATGTTTACTTGACATATTTTGCTTTAAGAAATCAGTGTTTCTTCTTGGAAATCAACAGGTTAAAAAAACAATTAGCTTCCTTATCTTAGAAACATCAAGGAAGCATCAAAGAAAGTGATAAAGCGATAGGGGTTATATTGGTAAGCACAGTGCGTGTTAAGCACCCTCCCTCCATAATGACAATTAGTATTAACAATATTAGCTATTCTTTCTTGGGCACTTGCTCTGGATCGGGCACTTGGCTAAGCTTTTTGCTTATTTTGGGTTATTTCATTCAACTGTTCCCATGACCCCATGAAGTAGGCACTATTATCCCCACTTAGCAGTTGAGAAAACCGAATTGAGAGAACTTCAGTCACTTGCCCACAACCCCAGGGCTACGAAGTGATGGAGCTGAGATTTGAACCCAGGTAGTGAGGTTTCAGAGCCCGGTTCAGTAAGGTTCTTATCAAGGAAGTCACCTTCCTGCCCCAGGGTGGAATCCAATTGCAGACATTTATTGCATGGCTTTCCTTCAAAGTTGGGCACATAGCTGGGATATGTAAGAGGACCTCCAAGAAAATAAATGAGCCCAAGCTCTGCCTGGGAGAATACTGTGGTGCAGGTTTGGGGATCCAGTCTTGGAAGCTCTTACATTCAATGTTTTCTAACGTTTTAAGATATTCCTAGGAGGAGCTCAAGAGCAGGGAATTGCCAGGCAAGCCAAATTGCTCTGGAAAAGTAGAGACATGTAATTGGAAGAAAGAGAACGGGGGCGGGGGGGTGGGGTGGGGAATGCCACGTGACAAGCTGAGGACATAGGAGAGAACTGGTGAAAGACAGGGCAAGAAGGAACAGGGAAACAAATGCGGTCTAGGCTCTTTCTGACCATGAGCCTCGCGCATCCTGTTAATACCATGCCAAAGGAGGCGTGCACGGAATAAAGACAAGCAAGCAAGGTAGGACTTCGCAAGTAGATGAAGCACCTGCTTCCCAGCTGAATGGAGACCAGTATGATCTGTCATTCTTAGGTGGTCTCTGCAAGGCAGAGGGAAAGCCCTTCTGTTCTCCACATCGGTGCCCGAAGTTCATCCTCTTTTCCCTGCTCTCCTTGCCGCCAGCTTTGCCACGTCCACAGGCCCTTCGCCTCACATGCGTGTGCAAACTCCAGCTCTCCAAGGGCAAGGCTGTGGCCACAAGAGCAAAGCCAGCTGGGCAAGGAGCCTAGAGGCTGGAGTGTTGGGGTCTATGGA